TTTCGCGTAATATTATTTCATTATTGGTGTAATAAAAAGTGCTATAATATAATTAAAAATGTTTTTTCACTTAATGGGACCATATCCGTTAATGAAGTATTTAATTACAGATTATATTGTGTAAACTTTGGTCTAGCTCGGCCCAGGGCTCAGTGCATTATCTTATAATCACTTAACTTTGTTACTTTCATGCGAAAAATGATGAGTGTTAACTTTCAGCGGAAACCTGGACTCAAAAATGTCAACAATCTCACGTTAATATTTACCTCCTTGTTATGTATAATAATATTAAACTGTCAAAGGTCATTTTTCAAGATAAAAATGTTACATAAAGTAATTGTTTTGGTATTTATTCATAAGTTCTGTTCATCAAAAGTAACACACACACACACAAAAAAACATTCCAGCAGTTCAGTGCAATTATTTAATGGAACAATCCAGGTTTGATTTGAAGATGACCCACTAAAACAATATTTAAATACAATAATTTAATTATAATGAAAAAATAAAGCCTTCTGAATCAAGCTCTTACCAAAAAAAGAAATTATTAATGGTCAAGAAAAGAAATGCTACAAGCATCCTAGACAATGTGTTTTATTGTAGTGGTTATGAATATAGAAGCTGATACATTAAGTACCTTCTGTTTTGTCATAACATTTTTAACTGGTTTGACGAAAAGCAAGAGAATTCCAATTCCCAAAAAGTATTAAATTTTTTTGAAAAATTGGCCCAGCATGACTGAATGTAACCTACCTCTAACCCAAGGTGTCCTTTCCAGCTTCCTGATAACAGGTAGGATATTCTCGCTATTTTTGTACAAAACTTTTTTTGTTTCATACCGACTAATGTTGGAAAGCATGTGCCATGGAAATAAGTTTAAACTCCTTAGTACCATACTAGGTGTATGTAATTTTTATCTGTGGATGAGTGTCAGGATTATAGTTGGTCCAGCACGCAGAATAGTATCACACCTAGGACTAAGGATAATGTCTAACAGGACCTTAGAATGGACGGACTTAACTTATCCAAGAATAGTCAAAATACTTGCTGAGGTCAGGGGCACGGAATAAGACACAACGATGAGGAAAGGCAGAAGTCAAGGATACTAGAAATCAGGGAAGTCAAAACGAAGCCAAAGTCAAATACCAAAAAAACGCAATCAGGAACACACTCTCGGATAACCAGCTAGTGGAAACCACGACAGGGCAATGACAAAAAAGTAATTTGGATTTAAATAACCCTCCTTAGTCTGTAATTGGCTGTCTCTTATCTCTGACCCCAAAATGTGCACGCACGTTGGCGCCATCTTTGATGTGGGCAAAGATAAGTTTCTTATAAAAATCTGGACCGCAGTGGCCGGCATTCCTAAGAACGTCAGACTTGCTGGGGACCAGAATGGAGGGAGACCGGGCAGCTGCCCACCGGGACCAAGGTAAGTCAGAAATATCTCTATGGCAGAGAGGCCAGAAGAGGAGCCGGGAGCTGTGACAATGAGCACGTGAGTGTACCCAGAGTATCCTGGGACAAGTCGATCTAAACATGAAAGGCCTTTTTCTTAATTTTGCTCTTTTATTTGTTTAGTAGCTAACTTCCTGATTTGCTATTAAAACGAATGTATTTGAAACAAATTGATTAGATTTCTTACAGATCCATTCATTTTAATTTTGCTTTAATATTGTGGAGATTTTGAAATTCATATGCTGAATCTGCTGAAATACGGATGAAATTCCATTTGTGTTGCGACTAATTACACAAGTCTAGGCAGTTCTGCCACTGACCTATGTGTGACGGACAGCCTGCCCCCCCGACTGGGTGCCTCCGTCAATCAAAGCTCCTAGTGCTCACCGTCGGCTCTAAGCACTCCACCATTCATCATAAGCGCTGTCTATTCGCAGCTTTGGTCCATGCAAACAAGATGCCCACCACCACGTGTTCGAATGCTATTTCAAATGGCTTCGGGAGTTCGAAGTGCCAAGTGCCGTTTCAAATGTTCGAATTGTTCTTGTTATAGTCCCATCAGGCACAAATAGTGTTTTCAAATAAGGTTTAACACAGGTGCCATAGCCACACAGTAGGAGGCTGGCAAGTATACCCCTCCAAGGACCCGTGAAGAAGTCCAGTTCGTCACACTATGGTGTGACAAAAACCCCTTTCAGGGTAAGATGCTGCCCCGTTTGCTGTTCTGGTTCTAAATTAAGTACACAAAGGCATTTATTTATTTCTCTGCTAAATGGAACAATTGAGAACTCTGGATGGCAGCACCCATCCATTGATCACAGGTATGCAGATCATTACATGGTTGTATAATAAAATATTTGGAGAAAACAATATTCTAATGAATGGATCTGAATATGGTAATATATACCTTAAAATAAAATTAACAATTATGCTAAAACTATCAACTGAACTAAATAATCATGCCTGGTTATTTATGCCAGGAATTGTAATAGAAATTTTATTTTTAAGTTGCTTAAAATGCTATACACTACAATAGAAAATATTTTTAATTAAAAGCAAACTGTCACTTCTGTGGAACTAACAGTTTCCCAGTCCTCCCCCAGTGGATTGTTAAGCAGATGTAACGAAGACATGAACGTACCTACATCATAATTCCATGTTTAGAGTGACTTGCCCCAGAAAATTCTGGGCACACTTAAGTGCTCTTGGGCATGCACAGATAAATTAGTTACAAGCTAGTGAGGTACTATAGGTTATTAAACTAATTTGCATGGCATCGCACATGATTAGGAGGTATAAGAACTAACCCAGGATGGTGGGACTGAACCACAAAATATGGACAGTGCTACCAGATCTGAGAATGTTGGGAGGTATGCATATAATATAAATTAAAATTATACTAAGCATTAAATTTTTTAAAGTAAGCACAACCCATAAATACTTGTAGTTAAAGGACCACTATAGTCACCCAGACCACTTGAGCTCAATGAAGTGGTCTGGGTGCCATGCCCCCCAGGTTTTAACCCTGCAGCTTTAAAAGTTTACATTGCAGGCTTAATCCAGCCTCTAGTGGCTGTCTTCCTGACAGCTGCGAGAGGTGCTTCCACGACGCTCAATTCGAAAATTGCATTGAGCAACCAGAATGTCCATATGAAAGCATTGAGTAATGCTTTCCTATGGGCGGTTTGAATGCGCGTACGGCTCGGGCCTCACATGCGCATTAGGCTCCACTCGGGAACTGACATCGGAGGGGGAGGGGATTAAGGTAAGTGGCTGTAGGGCAACTTAACCCCTTCAGCCCAACGGAAGGGGGGCCTTGAGGGTGGTGGGGGGGGGGGACCTAAGGACTAGAAAGTGCCAGGAAAACTAGTTTATTTTCCTGGCAATATAGTGGTCCTTTAAGTACTGGGTTGTGCAAAGTGCAAAAAATATAAAAGTAATTTTAAAACAGCTTTAGTTTAAACATCGAACAATTAGTATGACATATTAAAAATACTATAATCCGCTTTAACAACATGTTATATTAATCAATAATAATAAATTGGTGCGCTTGAAAAAGCTCCAAGGTGGGGGCGATATGTGTAGTGTGAGCACAGTAAGATTCACTTTGCTGAAGACAGCATCAGCGAAAGCAGGTGCAAGTAGCGTACGTTAGCGGAGAGGAGCTCTTTAAATAAGCCCACATGTCAGGAGTAGTTTTTAAATTTTATTGTTTTTATTTGTATTATTATATGCCAGCACATAAACAATCTTGGATCTAAGACGCCCTGCTATTGGAGTCCATCTGTATTCGGATCGACCGATAACGATATTCTGATCCTTTCTATGAGAAGTAGCGTGAGTGTCTCTGTACCACTCTACATTTGTGAGTTTGTTCCAGAGTGGGTAGGAAACATTCTAAATTGTGTTACAGTTCATTTATGAACATTTTTTTTATTTTTTATAATAGAGTAGAAGGAGGAAAACACTACGAATAATGTAATAAGAATAATTTAAGCGTAATATGTATAATTGTTTAGTTCGCCACTTTATTTTTATTGATTTTTTTAAATTAGTGTTTTGAGTGTTGTAACATTAATTGATTGCAGTTTGTAGCGTTTGTGTGACTTTTTTTTTTATTGTTTTGTATGTTGCATACATAGAAATGTTTAGCTTTAAAATTAATAGTGGGATGTTCCTTGTGAGACCACAGATTGATTTTCTCGCTGCGGTCATGAGGATACGGTTTACAACTTTATTCTTTGCCTGAGGTTTACCCAAAGGCCTCAGTTGGGTTGCTCACATGCGTTGATGAAAGAGAGTCTTTCAGCCCATGTTAGTATAATAGGGTTACAGATAAACAGCAATTAAAAAAAATCACTATGCAAACTAATGGAATGTTCCAATTATTTTAGAACACTGCGGCTAAGGTCAGAAAGTGCAGTAATCAGAAATTCGAGTGATAAGTTCTAAAAGTAATCCAAACAGTATTTCTGGGGTACTTTGCCCAAAAAAACTATCCCACTTTATGAACATTTTTTTAGTAGTTTTTTTGAGAATTATTGTTTTGAACATTACCACAGATGTACTAATTGGTCCACTGTAAAAACTACCTTGAATTACTTAGTCACACTTTATAATGTTTACCATGAATTATCGTTTGCTCTGACGCTAGAAATTTGCTTTTGAATTACTGATTGCTATACTCCTAACACCTTAACCAGGAATTAATGATTGCTCAAATGATCAATATTTTAGAACAAATGCGGTCTTCTAACTTGACGTTCCCACGTGTAAAAAACAGAATTGTAACGGTTAAATGTATAATTTCTATAAAACTAAAACATCTGTGTAAAACTATTTCTTTAACTTCCATTGAAAATATTTTAAACACTCACTTTAAAATTTATTGAAAGTAGCTAAATATGAATTGCCTTCCGCGTTCTTGCTATACGTACTTAGATTTTAGATTTCTGGAGTAAGGATTGTAACAGATTCCTGAAACCCTCTCTTCAAACACTTCATTACAATCCTTTTCCAGTCCATCCCCTTGTCTCAATACCCTCCCAGTCTTGCACAACACAGGATACAGCTTCCAAGATCACCAATAGTTTAAGCAGACCAAAGTAAGCTTTCACTCTCTCTCTCGCTCTCTCTTTCCCAAGGACGTGTTTGGAATAAATCCAGAAAGGAACTATACAGTCAGCTGAGTTAACAGTGCATGAAAATCTGTCATATGTTTTTTTTCTACTGACCCACATTTTTAAAACTTTTTGCAGACCTTTGCCTCACAATCCCTGCTGTTTCCAACTGGGAAGGACGTTTAAGAACGGATTCTCACAAAAAATCAGAAGGTAAGTTTGTATATCAAAGGATATCACCCACTCTAGGAACAAGCCAGAACATAGAAATTATAAGGACTAGATATAGACTGTTACAATATCTGGGTATGTAATGTATACAGATGGTCTGGCAGAGGGTTACTGACTCAATACCAAAATGTTGGCCCAAATATCCAAGTTGTGATTATGTGATTATAGCTGAGATGCAAAATTGATATATCAAAGCATTACAATTTAGTGTTTAGTGAATAAGCCCCTTAAAGTTATTATATGATGCAATTCTTTTCAAAACAATATTAAATAGTAAATGAACAAAAATGCAAATATTGAACAAAATGTATGAGTCTATAAAAAATTTCCACAAGAAATCATCCACGTATGCACAAATATATACGAACGAACACTGTGATACATCTGGGATGCAGTGACTTTAACCAGTGATTTGACTTCTGCACAATGCTAGTCTGATGTGTAGGAAAGAAAAAGTTTGCATATGGTTGCATTAAATGTTGTTTAACAGATAGTGGCTCTGTTGGGCTTGAATAATATGTCAAGCAATGTTTTAGAGTGATGTATAAATCAATTATTGCAAAAGAAATGGAACTGACTAGTTTTGTCTCTAAACTGGGCTTTATGAATATTTAGGAATCGCCAATTTTAGAACAGAATATATAATTGACAAAAATAGCTGAACTGGAAAACTGTGTCCTTTATACCTATTGTATCCAAAACTTGCAAATCCCTTCCTAATTGCCAGCAATTCCCAGTATAATGAGTAGTGTTTGAACACGTGTGCATTGATGATGCAGTCCAAGCACCAGAAGTACTAACTCCTGATGTAGTGGTTATGGTACTAATAGGCTGCGTTACTCCAGTTCAAGCTTTTGTCCACATTTGGATGGCATTGATTGGCCGAGTGTGTCAGGTGAGCCTATGGTGATGGCACCATCAGTCTACTAAAACCAAATCCCCATATGGGAATATTCTCAAAAATTGGATCTTTACAAAAACTAAACCCTGCATTGCTTACAAATCAATTAAATTACTATTGGTGGGAAATATGGAAAAAGTGACACAAATATTGTGCGCCATTTACAGTATGTTGCAGTTGTTATGGTACCACGGGATCTCTGGTGCCCTCCAACGGTGAACTCCTACACCATTGCAGAACGGTTTGACACTTAAATGAATCTTTTAGGCACCCATAGTCTTTCTGGTTTGGTATGGTAAAGTAAAAGTAAATTTCTCCATTGTCATACCAACCATACCAAGTTGGCAAATGGCTCATTGGCTAAGAACTGTCAGCTGGTACTCTCAGCCAATGATTATAGTCTCAACTTGATAAGATAATGACAATACAAAAGTATGAACTTCCACTTTACCGTAACAGCTCAAACCAGAAGAACCGCGAGCGGCGAGCACCCAACAGAGATCTCAATTTTATATTTTTGGATAAACTTTTAAAATGATTTAATATAAATGTTTGATTTTTTTTTTAACAATGTGAAAAAATATTTTGAAATGTTTATAAAAAAATACTAACTCATTTGAAAAGCCTATCCAAAAATATTAAATGGAGGCCAGAGTTATGTAAAGGTCAAACCATTCTTAAACAGTTCACCAAGTTCGGAAGCCTGGGGTGTATTGGCATCTTAACCAGTACTGTGCACTGTTGTAGTTGTGGTGCTTACAGTATACCTTTAAAAAGCTACTTGACGTCAAATGAAGTTAATATGGATAACTGTCAATTGGTTTAGGTAGGTGCTCACAAAGTTTAATACATCGGCCTGATGAGTTTGGAAAGACCAGGAGTTTGACTGAAATATAAACCCTTCTACATTGGGTGTGGCTGGAAATAGGGAATGTGAGCCAGGGGCATGTGAGTAAGTAATTGCAATCCTACTAACAAGCCAAACGTGACTACCTATACACTGCTGGAGCATTCTAGTATTAACAGAAATATGTTGCATTGGTTTCACACACAAAAAAAAAGAGGAAAAAAAATAAGAAAAGCAGGAAAAAAGGACTCCCTTTGGGACTGCTACTTCAAATCCAGGACTGTTAGGATGTATAGAAATTCTCACTGTCTGAAGGCTGAGCATGAGCAGCTTGAGAGGATAGCATATGATGGCAGAGAATGAAAGTTTAAGGTGATGGAGTGCATGTGACTGCAATGTAGGTGTGCACCTTATAACAGGTGAATAAGGATTGAATACGAATAATGGAATAAATGGATTGGCAGGCTTGTTTTATGTCCTCCTGTGTGCCCGTGATATTTCCAGCAGTCATTGTGTTCTGGGTAGAATGGAATGCAGCAGTGCAGGTTTTATTGAAATCTACCTTTGCTTTTGTCCTGTTTAACTTGATAAAATCAAGAGATAATGATGATATGTTTTATTTTTATTATAAATAAAACATATTTAATTCTTAATGATGAAACCCCTTTAAACTGAAATGGATTTAAACACGAAATAAGCACTTTAGTAATATTGAATTATTTTCAGGGGAGTAATTAAAGAGGTATACAAGCTGGAACTGACTCCATCCATTTTTAAAGGAACACTGTAGGCATTATAAATAATCTCATTGATTTAGTTGTAGTGTCTGGAGTTCCCTGGCACTGTCCCCCCATTCAGTTTTAAACCATCTTCAAGCAATTTAACCCACAGTCCAGCCCCTACTGGAGGTATGGCTAAGGCAGAGGCAGTGTCCCTTTAATGGTTATATAGGTAATACTTAAAAACCCAAATCCAAAACATGTGAAGCAGTTCTGTACTGGGGAGCAGGCCCAGGCTGGCCATGTGGCAAATCCCTGGTGAGTCGTAATGGTCATGGGCTGACTAAGAAGATTAGAAATATTTACACTCAAATATTTGCTAAGGCCAAATCAGAAAAATGCTACTACAACTACGGAGGGGATGTACTTATACATTGTGCATCTAAACCTATTGCTGAGGTTTAAAGGGGAGCTTACAGTCATGGCTCATTCTACACACAATGTGTCATGGGCACCTGTGGCCATCTTGGCATGAAACGTGTGAATTCAATTTCAAATGAATTGCAATTCACCTGAATTTTGGCTGATGAGTGGGTCGCCCAAATTCTGTAACTCCAAAGCGCCATATCGACCTATAACGAAATAAGCAATAAAAAAAAAGAATGAAAGATAGAAAGAGCTCAAAATCATAATATTGACTGATTGTGAGCTTAATTTAAATTGCATGCACTACAAAATATATATACATATATATATGACTTTGATTATGTATGTATTTAGCAGTACAGTGATTGGCTCATTATTTGCGCCATTTTGGTTAGTCCGAATAGGTTATCCTAAATCATTTGAGTAAACGATATTCAGATGAGCCGAACTGTTGTCTTGACAAAATTTGGCTGACCAAATTTTAACTTGGGACCTCTCTTTAATTTCACCCAGTGAAATGAATGCTACAAAGTATTCTCTTATTTGTCTATTTGATAACTTTGATTAGACGAAATTTTGAGTAGAGCTCTAATCTCCTTCATCGAGAATTTTGGCCTGTGATGGATACTGAAGTCTTGCAAAAGTATAAAATCTTCATGTTGTCTATGAATGATACAGATATACAGAATAAAAACTGCAAAATGTATTCCACTTGATCTGATGTGTAAACATGTATTTAAACTATGTAAAGCAAGATATTATGAATATTATCAGAGTGAGGGGGAAGATTTTAGGGTCTTGATATCTGCCAAGATTATTAGGGTAACTGAGCAAATTCTTAATGATTAATGGCCAAATATATAGATTATCATAGTCCCTGGTTAAGAGGCAGATTATCAGGGTACCTTGTTGAATAGGTAGATTTCTAAGGTAGGATTAATGAAACTGTTCAAAAAACTTACTCAAAGTCATAACTTAGATGCGGTCAGTGTTCTCCCAGCACAGTTCGGTGAACTTGACCATTTACTGTGTGCTTAGAGATTCACTGAGCCGCCAATCATGCATGATTGTTTGCAAAATGTTTGTATTTCTAATGATGCAAAGTTGTTATAGTGCTTAGAGTGACTCCTTAAATCAGGGGTCCTCAAACTCCAGCCCCCCAGATGTTGCTGAACTACAACTCCCATGATTCTTTGAATTACATAGATAGCCAGACAATTGTGGGAGTTGTAGTTCAGCAACATCTGGGGGGCTGGAGTTTGAGGACCCCTGCCTTAAATCAATCTATCTGTCTATCTATCTATCTATCTGTTCATTCTAAATCTAGCACTAAAAAACGTACTGAAGAAGTTAATGAGGGGGAAACCAGCCTCATTAAAAGGGATTCGGGAATCTGTTTTAGTGAAATTATTTTAGAGCGGCACAAAACTAGTCAATGGAGCTCATTTGTTCTGTGTTCTCCCTAATGTAAGCATTCCAGCATTATTGAGAATAACTGAAATCTGCAACAGGAACAATGGGTGTATTTTTCCTAAGCGATCCTCTTAATGGTTTCACTGCTGTAATTCTAGTGATAGAAGGAAAACATTAAAGGGGCACTATAGTTACCAAAACAACTTTAGCTTAATGCAGCAGTTGTGGTGTACAGATCATGCCCCTACAGTCTCACCGCTAAGTTCTCTGCTATTTAGGAGTTTAATCACTTTGTTTATGTAGCCGTAATAACACTTCTCAGCATGTGACTTAGAAAGCCTTTCTAAACACTTCCTGTAAAGACAGATGTAATGTTTAAACATCCTTTATTGCAAATTCTCTTTCATTTAGAATTTCTTTTCTCCTGCTCTGTTAGTAGCCTCCTGTGTGTGATTGAAGATAAATTTACAGAGCAGGAGATAAAAACTTCTAAAGCAAGTTCATATCTGATTGAAAATGAAACTTTTTTTTCTTGCAGGCTGTGTCAGTCGCAGCCAGGAGAGGTGTGACTAGGCCTGCGTAAAGAGAAACAAAAGTGATTTAACTCCTAAATGGTAGAGAATTGAGCAGTGAGATTGCAAGAGCATGATCTATGCTATGCACCAAAACTGCTTCATTAAGCGTAGGTTTTTTTGTAATAAATAAAGCTTAATAAATGTAATATAATAAGCCATGTAAGCACAGCCGATTTATCATTAGTCTTTACATTACAGGTTTTATGGATATATATTTTTAAGGGCTATGTCAATCAGTATGAAAGCTGCTACGGAATGATTTTTGATAGACAGATGGATACAATATTAGTAAAACAATTATCACATAGAATACACATTCAGTAAGTGAAACACATTTGCTGTCAAAAACTAGACTTATTTAAAAAAAAAAACTTAAACTAAACAAGTTTAATTGTAGACAATGCTTAAATATAAACAAGATTATCCTTCTATTGTAAGACTACTTCCGTGGTTGGCTGACCACCAAGTTTCAATTTAATTAAATGAAAGCCTAGGAAAATGTTGGGGGATGGGAGAAGGCATCCGATAAGACGTTTCAAAATTAAATAGTCCAGCAAAGACTTTGCGATTTCTATGAGCAGTGATTGTGGAGCCAAGCTGGGTAATTCCTAGAACAACCTATAGGAAGAAAAAAAAAATCTAAAACTCTTACAGGTCCTGCTAAAAAAACTGTTTCACTGATAATGTATTTATTTATTTAAATGTATTAATGTAAATATTATAATTTTATAATATTACAACTTTTTACTCCCATTCATACAGCAACACACTCATAGAGATATCCAGCTACACAAACACATAATATATACTCCCTCCCAGCTCTCAGTAGTGGCTGCTTTCCTGATCTGTGTGCATCTGTTAGCGTCATCAATGACGTTTTGGTACATGTCTGCCAAATGCTGGAACTTAAGGGAAAACTATGGGGTTTTCTCTGACGCTGGTTGTCTTCATGCAGAGCGTGAGGACATGCAGCATTGTTTCACAGAGTCAAACTCCGTGAAAATCTAGGAAGCGTCTCTAGTGGCTGTCTTAGTTCTGCAATGTAAACATTGCAGCCTCTCAAAAACATTTTAGGACTAAGGGGGACAGGGAAAATACATGCAGACCACTTTAATGGGATGAAGTGGTGTGGTCTGTCAAATTTATCAGTTGTCTGGTAAATAGCGTCCCTTTAACTACTAAGATTGACTGAACAAACAGAAAAGGCAAATAGTGCACCCAGGCAGCCTCCTCAGGCTCAATCACAATAAATAACATCATGATTCAGACAAGGGCAGCAGTAGTTTTGGACATGCAGGCTGCATTAACAAGCTAAGGGGGCTGAAAACGGCCACTGGTATGGTGCTTTGAGATACTTGCTTTAAAAGCTCCACTGTCATGACTGGGGGATCCTCTCATCACTCCTGTTATGTTATCTGTTTGGGAATTGCCCCTCATCTACAATCATGCCATACCCCTTCTCTCTGGGGTACCATCATGCACGACCCCTTAGAAAGATCTGCACAGAAATAAAAAGTCTCCACAATTTTTACATTTTAACAATGTTCAGATTCTTTAAATTCTTTCCCTGGTAGATTGTGTACATTCCAACAGAGCATCCCGATTTTATTTTACTAATCTAAATATCATCATTCCTCAAAATTACTCCCCAAAACAACTCCATTACATTCCAATGCCAGCACTGTAACATACATTTGACCTCCACACTATTTCATGGAGGATTACTATGTTCATGAAGTATGTGAGTTTTTTTTCCACTTCATTTGCTCAAGATGAGGCCCCTTTCCTGCAAATACTTTCTCCATTTATGAAAATGGGAAACACTGGAAGAGAGATTAAAGGTGAGAGAAAGTAAAACGTATGTTACAGTTTTTTAGGTAACACACATGCTTACTGGTCAGAAGATTAAAGACCACAGCCAAAACAATGCCATGTATGCAAAAAAATTTAATCTTTCTCTTGAATTTATCAGTTGTTTGCTAAATTTTCTAACTTGTCACAGGCAAACGCAGCAGTTGACATTTCCAGCAGTGTAGGTAGATGTAACTAGATTGTTAACCACAGGGTCGGGACCCAAAGTTGAGCCCAAGTGCTTTTTCAGTGGATGTGGGCATTCCCTATTCAGTTGCTTACATTAAATTGGTTAGTGCAGCAGCACTGCTTTCCCTGGTGTATTTGGGACCCACATAACACTGGAAATAATCTAATGGAGATGCTTTGCTAAATTATATTGCTATGTTTTACATATTAATGAAGAACAGGTCAAGGTCATTTTATCATAACAAAATGGGTCCTTAAAGGGACACTATAGTCACCAAAACAACTTTAGCTTAATTAAACAGTTTGGGTGTATAGATCATACCTCTGTAGTTTTACTGCTCAATTCACTGCCATTTAGGAGTTAAATTACTTTGGTTTTTGTTTATGCAGCCGTAGCCACACCTCCCCTGGCTGTGCTTGACACAACCTGGATGAAAACAAAATCGTTTCATTTTCAATGTAACTAACTTTAAAAGTTTTTATCTCCAAATTTGTAAATTGAACTTTAATTACATACAATAGGCCCCTTCTGGGTCTAACAAGCTATTAACAGAGCAGGAGATGAGAAATTCTAAGTTAAACAGACTTTAAAATTAAGGAAGTGCAAACAATAGCTGACTCTTTACAGGAAGTGTTTAGGAAGGCTGTGCAAGTTACATGCAGGGAGGGGTGTCTAAGGCTGTATAAACAAAGTGATTTAACTTCTAAATGGCTATGAATTGAGCAGTGAGACTGCAAGGGCATGATCTATACAGCAAAACAGCATCATTAAACAAAAATTGTTCTGGTGACTATAGTGTCCCTTTAAGCTATGTCACATACAGTTTTGTTTGCTGTCAAAAACTCTCCACTATTGTGGGTGTATGTAAAAATATCCATTAATCCAGTACTTTGCATTAGATTCCCCTGACTCTTGCGACAAAATCAAGTCAAAGTGTACTCTGATGCTGACTGTCACGGAACCTCAATACCACATGGACAAAAAGGACTAAAAATGGCTATTGTCCCAATGCTTCTTCTGCCTCGCAGCCAGGATTGGGGACATTTTGTCTCTATGTTTGAGAAGGCACAGCAGGGAGCCGATCTGGTTGACTTGAAAAGTTGTAATCAAGACAGAATGGCCCCGGGGTGGGACTATTGTAAGGGAATTGCATTGCATGCATGACCCCCTGGTGTGGGTATCCTCATTTCTCTTTATAAATACCTGCAATGTGTACAATAAAGCTGCATTCTACTCGCCTACATGCAGTCTCAGTTAATGTGTGGGGAAAAGCTATCTATATTCACTACTTTACAGGAGAAAAGCTCTCCAGAGCTGTAATCACTGCAGAAAGCTATAACCACTGCAGAGACCCCAGTCAGGCTGCAGCGACTCGGTCTGAAGAGCCCCTTGATAGCAGCTAGGAGGCAAACTTCGCAGAGGATTATGGTGGCTCCGCTACACTGTCCAACACCAGAAGGACAAACGGAAGTTGGGGCATCAAATAAATGTTGGATTTCTGTGCAGGAGAATTGGAGGAGTGGCGGGGCCAGAGAGAAAACATGGGCATAACCAATAGTTTAGAGAGAATAGTGGAAGATAAAACATCTGGGTTAGATGCAGTAGTTGCCATTTTTTTAAAATGCAAAAAAAAAAAAGTACTGCCCGTATATGGGCATAATGCCACAGGACAGCATGAACATTTTACTGACTGCATGTCATCATGTTGGACATGTGTCAGCACTATCTACTGTTGCTAAAAATTGAGACAATGTAATCTTGGGATGTGAATCAAGAACAGCATCTTAATAATGTTGTGCAACTGATTTAACATTAGCTAAACTGGAAAAAAAACTGCATGAACACTAATACTTTCTCAAGGTCTGACAGTCGCCCAGTCAAAGGAAGAATCATTACACAGTGCTATGGATTGCATCTTAAACCTGGCAACCCGAAGTCTAACAACCACTGCATACAGGGCTACACTGAATGCAAGTACTAATTGTACAGCAGTTACCATAGTAACCAGTGTTAACATGTGGCAAAGTGGCATATCACATGTTCTGCTACACTCCTACATCCACCTCTTTCTCTGTCCCAGGCAGCATTGCAGGATCAAGCTTCCAATTAGTAAGAAGGAATGAGGAGTGAAAAAATGGCCCCTTAGCAGAGAAAATTCAGAGTTGTGATTAGTGAGAGAGAGGAAATCAGAGCTGAGAGCAGCATTGGATTTAACTATCAGGTGCCCGTTCGCAAAAAATTCTAAAGTGCCGATGCTCCCTCTTGCCCCCAAACAGCAGTTAAAGTTACTTATGAAAGGGACACGCCAGGAACACTTTAGCTTGCTGAAATGCTTTATGCATGCAGAGTGTGCCATCGTTTTTTCCATTTCCATAAAAATGCAGATTTCAGTTGAAATTTACACATTTTTTTCTAAACTAACCTGGTTACACCCTCTGGCTCTCAAGCAGACAAATGGTCTTGCTATTTCCTGGTTTCGTTAACTCAGTAGAGATTAACTGAAGAGGCAGCAATTGCACCGCAGCACCTACCTTCCAAAGATTACTGAGCTCCATTGGGAAATCTGTGATTGGACAGCCAAGGAAAGTGGTTGGAAGGGGAGAGCTTGCAAAGGCTACAGACAAGAAACAACAGATTTTGCAAGCTGTCTTTTTAGATATATCTCAATAAAAATGAATAATTAAATGCAATTGTTTTTTGGGGGGGCAGGAGAATGTCCTTTTAACTGCAAGCAGACCCTGCAGGCATAAAACACATCTAAAGATCATATAGTGGTATTTCATGTCCGTCTGTCTATCTCCACACCTGTGTGTGTGAGATCCCTTCTCTTACCATTCTTTACATTTTGTATTTTCGGTTTAGTTTATAAACCGGCTCCAGGTCTTAATCTCCTTTTGAAGTCGAAATGCTGCCCCCTCTTACTTAGCAGAACCAGTCAAATAGCATTAGTTATTTGCATTTAGGATTAGTGTTGAACACCTGCCTTGTTAATGTGCACCTTGCCTCAGCAGTTAAACCAACAGACTGTGACTGTAAGTAACGAAGACTTTGCCCGAGACTCTGTTTAGAGCAGACTTCGGCCTCCTCTAACAGAAAGGATAGCATTTTTATAACATAGAATGCCAGATAGCAGTCATAGTAGGAATTAAGATGGTGGCTATTATTTAAAACATGATGTACTCACTGTCATTTGTTAAATTATCCTCACATTTTCCTGAAAGTTCCAATCTGCATGTTTGCTGCCAATAAATAAGAGCATAATTTTCATGAGAAATTCATTGGAAGAAATTGCAATTGCACTTAAATACAATTTTTCACACACAAAGCAAACAGTACGTTTTCATACAATCCTTGAATTTTGTGATATACTCAAAATTGGGTTGATTATTTGCTTACTTTACAGTTTAAGATAATACTCATGTGTTCACTGGCTTTGCATCTTTTCCTAAGTTGTGTTTCAAAGCTGTTGTATACAGGGCCGGCGCTACCTGTTAGGCGGCTAGGCAGCCGCCTTGGGCGCCCCTTGGGAAGGGGGCCGCCAGGAGTGCCGGCCCCCCTCATGCTGCAGCCACCCGAGCGCTCTGTAGAGAGCCTCAGGCGGCTGCAGCTTGGCCCGGGTGGTGCGTCCATGAGGGCGCACCGCCCAGGCACAGCATGAGGAGAGGGGCTGACAGAAGGGAAGTGCTCAGCGCTCCCTCCTGTCACTCCCTCACTGTAGCGTGGCCGAGCCCTCTATTGGTCTGTGGGTACAGGGAGCATCTGTCTCCTGTACCCGGCTGGACTAACAGGAAGTGCACACTGAGTGTGCACTTCCTGTTAGTCCGGCTGGGTACAGGAAACCAAAAGCTACCTGTACCCGCGGACCAATAGAGGGCTCGGCCACGCTACAACAATGGTAGGGAAGTGGGGGGGGGGAGAATTGACAGGGGTGGAATTGACAGGAAGGGGGGAATTGACAGGAAAGGGGGTGGAATTGACAGGTAAGGGGGCTGAAATTGACAGGGAAGGGGGGGGTGGAATTGACAGGGGGGGATTGACAGGAAGGGGAGTGGAATTGACGGGGAACTGACGGGGAACTGACAGGAAAGGGGAAATTGACAGGAAGGGGGAATTGACAGGAGGGGGCAAATTGATGGGGGGGAATTGACAGGAAAGGGGGAATTGATGGGGGAATTGACAGGGAAGGGGAATTACAGGAAGGGGGGAATTGGACAGGAGGGGTGGAATTGACAGGGAAGGGGGTGGAATTGACAGGAAGGGGGCAATTGACAGGGAAGGGGCACTGACAGGAGGGGGCAAATTGACAGGAGGGGGAAATTGACAGGGAAGGGGGAACAAATTGAAAGGGAGGGTGGGGGAATACATTGAAAGGGGAATACATTGAAATGGAGGGTAGGGAATAAATTGAAAGGGGGGGTGGGGAATAAATTGAACGGGAGGGGGGATAAATTGACAGGGAGGGGGGATACATTGACAGGGGGGATAAATGGACAGGGAGAGTGGGGGGAATAAATTGAAAGGGAGGTTGGGGAATAAATTGAAAGGGGGGGAATAAATTACACACACAGAAACACAAAATGCATTCCTTACACACACTCAATGCACCCCTTACAGACGCACACACTGCATCCCGTGCATACACAGAAACACACCTTGCAGCCCTTACACATACAAACACAGATTCACACAATGCATTCCTTACACACATATCAGGACATCCCCCTACTCCACCCGCTGTGAACAAACTCATTTGTGGAACATGAAGGTGGACCCTGAGACCCAGACCTTGAGCTGTGTGAAGGGCCTTAAAAAAATGGAGCTGCTTCCCGTTCTCCCAGAACATTGATTTTTTTTTTCCAGAGAGCCTGTAATACACCAGACCAGTGGAGCCAGACTGCAGCTAGAGCCCATCATCATCCTCATCTGGTTGTAAGTAGGCAATCTAGTATATTATTTGTGGCACTAATCTCTAGTCCCCAGAACCACTTCAGCTTAATGAAGTGGTTCTGGTGTCCATAGCCTGTCCCTGCAGGCCTTTTAATGTAAACACTGCGGCACTGCAGCACTGGCGTTAGTTAACATGGCGGATCATATGGGTGGGGCATTGTGATGTCACATGGGGGGGGCGGCAAACTTTACTTTTGCCTAGGGCGGCAAAAATCCTTGCACCGGCAGGGCCGGACTGGCCCACCGGGATACCGGGAAATTTCCCGGTGGGCCGCGGCACCTGGGGGCCGGCCGCGTTCCTGGGCCGGCCCTTTAAATACTGCAGCCGCCCGAGCGCTCTGTGAAAAGCGGTCAGGCGGCTGCACTCCGGTCCGCGGTGGCCGGCCGGAGTGATAGGAAGTTTCTGTTTCCTGTCACCGGCGCGGACCGGGTGCAGCCCGATCACGCTACAGGGGAGAAGCTGCAGCCGCCTGACCGCTCTTCACAGAGCGCTCAGGCGGCTGCAGTATTTAAAGGGCCGGCCCAGGAACGCGGCCGGCCCCCAGGTGCCGCGGCCCACCGGGAAATTTCTCGGTATCCCGGTGGGCCAGTCCGGCCCTGAGAAAGAGGCACATAAAGTTGGCAATTTGGTGGCGCTACCATAAGGTGGCACATAAGGCATAAGGCCGGCCCGGGGGCGCAAATGTCCGTGTGACCGGCAGGAGGGAAGCGCTCCTCTCCTGTTGTTTATTTGTTGTAGAGTGGCCGAGAGCTAGAAGCTTAGCAGCCGGCACAGGAGCAGGGGGCCAGTGAGGGAGGTCCGCTCTATATCTTCTCTTCCTATATAGTTCCCTCGCGCCCCCCGCTGTGGTGGCTGGACCGGAATGTGATGTCACATTCTGACTCCCATGACCTTCACAGGGCGCTCGAGGGTGCTATACAGGAAATGCTGATACACAGCAGAGCTCTCTCAGAGGAGCGCAGCGCCAACCCACTGGACCCCAGGATCCACCCCGATTCTCCAGAAGGTAGGGAGACTGGGTGGAGTGTGTGTTTTCTCTAAGCCCCACTCCCCCCAATACCACCCAAAATACTGCCCCTGCCCCACAATACTGTCCCTACCAAAATACTGCCCCTGCCCCACAATACTGTCCCTACCAAAATACTGCCCCTGCCACCCAATACTGACCTTACCAAAATACTGTCCCTATCAAAATACTACCCGTGCCCCACAATACTGTCCCCATCCCCCCACAATACTGCCCCTGCCCCCCAAAACTGACCTTAACCACCACTATACTGTCCCTATCCCCCCAAACAATGCTGCTCTAACCACATACAATACTGCACCTGCCCCAATACTGTCCCTATCCCCAACACAATGTTGACCTCACGTACATCAATACTGCACTAACCACCACACAATACTGCCCATGCCCCACAATACTGTTCCTATCCCCCACTACAGCCCCAGTCTCCCACAGTACTTCCTCTACCCCCGACTAAGCATCAATCCTAGACAATATTGTTCTTATGCCCTCCCTTACAATACTGCCCCTATCCCCCCACACTAAAGAATCAATCCACCACAATAAATCCCCTGTCCCCATCAGAATTAAGCCCCAATACCCCACAATACTGCTTCTATTCCCCACTGCCGCTATCTGCCCCACACAGTACTGCCCCTATCCCTCCCACTAAACCCTGTTGTACAGCATTACAGAATTTGTTGGCGCTATATAAATAATAGTAATAAAGTCCCCTTTCCACACAATTCTGCCGCTATCCCCCACAATACTGCCTCTTTTCCCCATTACTACTTATATTTCCCACCCCCACTAAAGCCCCTGTCCCAAACAATACTGCCCCTATCCCCCCCCCCACTAAATATAAGACACACTAAAGGAGGTGATATAATACACTAAAAGGGGTGTAACACACATACACAAAGGAGCAAAAGGGACAAGACATTTATGAGGGCATATGAAACACTAAAGGGGGTAAGAAATTCAAAAGAGGGGTTACGAGGCACACAGGAGAAGATACTTTTTTGGGGGTGAAGAAGAAGGCAGCAAAATGGATCTTCACCCGTGTAACCACAAATCCTTGCACTAGCCCTGCCTAGGGTGCAAAAGAGTCTTGCACCGGCCTTGTCTCGTAGTTCAATTATTATTTAAACCATACTTTTCAAACAGACACACAGAGGGATTGGAGGATTATATAAAAACACAGCAGTTCTGGGGGCAAAAAAAAAACACACAGGGGGGGCTGAAGGGGACATAGAGACACACAGAAGGGCCGAGGAGGGCCTAAAAGACACAGAGCAGCTGAGGGGAGGGTTAAAGAGACACACAGAGGGCTTGGGTAGACAAAGAGACAAACAGAGGGGTGGGCGTGGCAAAG